ATCAGAGCTGTTTTAAAGTCAATTCTCTGAGCCACAGGAAGTAGAGACCTGAGACTAGGACCAATGTGGTCGTACTTCCTGGTTCTGGTTTCTGCGTATTAACTGACCTAACGACAGCATGTAGAGATTGAACAGAAGAGGTCCCAGGATCGACCCCTGTGGTACTCCACAGGTCAGGGCCATATGATCTGAGACACAGTTCCCAATCTCCACAAAGTACTTCCTGTCTTCAAGGTAAGACCTAAACCGACTTAGGACGGAGCTAGTGAAATCAACCCAGTCCTTTAGGGCCTGTTTTGAGAAGAAAAAAACCCTTTAAAATCAATATCTGATCTGAAATAAATGCTTGATTGCACAAAAATATTTTTTATTGCACTATTTTGTTTGACTTTGGCTGGAAGTGCGAAGGAGAGTGGCGGAACCAGACAAAGATTGAGTTGGAGCAGTATCATTTTGGATTTTCCAGTTGAATTAAATAGTAGAACTCAGTACAGAAAATGTGATATTAATATAAAAAAGTGTTATATTATAATTTTGAATGAGCAGAAATCCACATTGTTGCACAAACCCAAAAGCGCAAATTGCTACTTTTACGTTTGCAATAATCTATTGCCAAGAAATAAGAATGACTGAGGGAATGCCCAAAAGTATAGTGAAAACCCAATGAAAAATGTGAAATGTGGAAAAGAAAAGCAGAGAATAATTGAAGTTAAGAACAGAGGAAGAAGGAGAGCGAGAGTTTAGTGGTGGATTGTGGCCTGAGCTTCTGCTGCTTCAGCACAGACTCTGACCACTGCTTTTCGAATGTCTCCGGCTCCAGTGGTGACCAACTCTAGAAGAGACTGAATTCTTCGATTTCAAATTAAAATGTGTAGTTTTTTATAAAGAACATCTAAATAATTATAATGATTATAATAAACAACATCAGTTAATTTCTAGGGGCGACAGTGGCTCAATTGGTCTCTGAACCTAATGGTTGTATTTTTGAGCCCCACCACGACCATGTCATCTGCTCCCACCATAGACTGTAAATATGAATGAATGTAGTGACGCCTAAACTAAACTAATGTGACATAAATTTTGGCTTCTACGGGGCTTTTTCAAAATGGCCACAGGCAGCCCCTCTCTCAGGAAAAAATTGAAAAAACACATTGCGCATGTGTTAGCGTTAGCCACAGTAGCCCCATTCATTTAGTGCATTTAAAAGTCCACAGTGGCAAAACTAGACTGGTCCAAACAACTACATATACTCAGCATCAACAGCATCTGGAACGTTGCTTTAGACCAAGAGCCACTTTTGGAGCAAGAGCCAGTTTTGGACCAAGAACCACTTTTGGACCAAGAACCACTTTTGAACCAAGAACAACTTTTGGACCAAGAATCACTTTTGGACCAAGAACCACTTTTTAACCAAGAACAACTTTTGGACCAAGAGCCACTTTTGGACCAAGAACCACTTTTGGACCAAGAACCACTTTTGGACCAAGAATCACTTTTGGACCAAGCACAACTTTTGAACCAAGAGCCACTTTTGGACCTAGACCCACTTTTGAACCAAGAGCCACTTTTGGACCAAGAACCACTTTTGAACCAAAAGCCACTTTTGGACCAAGAACCACTTTTGGACCAAGAACCACTTTTGGACCAAGAACCACTTTTGGACCAAGAATCACTTTTGGACCAAGAACAACTTTTGAACCAAGAGCCACTTTTGGAACAAGAGCCACTTTTGGACCTAGACCCACTTTTGAACCAAGAGCCACTTTTGGACCAAGAACCACTTTTGAACCAAAAGCCACTTTTGGACCAAGAACCACTTTTGGACCAAGAACCACTTTTGAACCAAGAACCACTTTTGGACCAAAACCCATTTTGGACCATCCTGTAAAGCCGTAAAGAAGACGCCACACAAAAGCATTAAATAATTATCTTTCTGGTGACATCCCCACAGGCCCGGGGTGGTACTGCAAGCATGTCAGTGCATATGCTCATGGACAATTTTGAGCTGGGACCCGCCCCACTGATGTTTACTCTTGTTGTGTCCCTGGGAAAGACACTAAACCCCACTTTGCCTGAGGCCCCCGCTGAAAGAACAAGAAAGTATCTTCATTGAAACAGGAGCCATCTTCCCGAGGACCCACCCCCTGCAGGAGGACCCAGAAATGTAATAATAAAGGGTCTGAAAATAACATGACGATCTTGTAATTCTTTCTTGGTAAAGTTTAGACTTTTCTGTATTTGCTGCTGACCCTGGGTGGATGTGATGTGAAAGTGCATGATTATATTTTGAAATCCTTCAGTTCTCGTTTCTCCACATGTTCCTATGTTTAGAATGTTTTCGTTCTGTGATTGCCTCCATTTCCAACAGTCTGTGTGTTGAAAACAGAGGGATTAGGCTGAAGATTATGCCTTGATTTCACATTTCAAACTTCATTACTGCAGCCAAGTGGGAATCACAAACCTCCTGTAACTCCTGTAACTCCTGTACCTCCTTTACCTTCTTTACCTCCCGTACCTCCTGTACCTCGTGTACCTCCTTTACCTTCTTTACCTCCCGTACCTCCTGTACCTCGTGTACCTCCTTTACCTTCTTTACCTCCCGTACCTCCTGTACCTCGTGTACCTCCTTTACCTCCCGTACCTCCTTTACATTGGAGTAACAGGTCAGACAGATTCTTCTCTTTGATAATTACATGCGTCTAGAAACATAAATGTGGGTTTGATTTTTCTTTGTATTCCTATAATTATAATATATATATATATATATATATATATATATATATATATATATATATATATATATATGTTCAAAACAACCGTTCACTTCACCACCCGATAGATCACGTAATACCCAGAGATGATGATATGATCCATGATGTAACTCATGTTCCCATGCATTCGTCCAAATTGCTGGCGAAAGCTAAGCACGCTCAAAACAATGATAGGAAATGCCACATCTAAGCAAACATATTAAAGGTCCATTAATACCCACGCTTAAATACAATTATGTATTTCCATGATGAGTAGAAATAAAATCAATACCCATTCTTGATTTACTATGATTAAGATTCAGAAATAAAAACATAACAACACAGGAAATGTCAGACAGTAACAGAAGCAATGAGTGAACAGGAAATATATGAACAAAACACAACAATACAAACTACTTTAGAATGTAAGTAGTGAAGTGTTCATGGTTTTACACTGGTCCAGACCAGAGCAGAGAGGATTCATGGTTTTATGTGATGGGGAAAATGAGGTATGACATTAAAAAGGTAAGGATTAGAAACTGCCAGAAAAGGTGCTGAATAAAATAATTTATGGATTAAAAGAGCTGGCCGTTTCCAATAAAACCAGAAGTTAAAATGAATTAAAATAATGTTTAATACAATATAAAATGGGTAAAATAGTAATTAAAAACAGGATTAAAAAATTAAAACGATAAAATGATAAAATGATGGCGGTCCACGTGGGTCCGATCCTCTCGCCCCGGCAGGTGGAGGAAGGGCAGCACTCCCACTGAGTCCGGTCCCGCGCACGCAGCCGTTGGCGCCCAGGGTCCCTCCTGCAGCCCAAGGCTTCAACCCCCTTAAAGCTGCACTAACTGACTTTTGGATTTTGAAGCCGCGGACTCGCTGGCCTCGCTCTTTCTGCTCCCCTCCCCGCACCCACGAAGCTATCGCCCCCCACACACACCCACTGGTGTTTACGAAGCTAGCGTCTCCCAATATGGATAATACATGGACATGGATTTGCACGTGGATGGCGTGACCACAGAACGATAGAACCGGGAAGCGCGGAGGAAAGAGACTTTCTTTTGGATGGCTGTTTCGCTGAGTAAGCAGTAACCGGTGACGAAGACGAGGAAGCTTCAGGTTAGCTCCGCCGCTTGTTGTGCTAACTCAGCCGTCTGTGCTAACGGACTTGTAGATTTCTCACGAAAGTGGGGGCCAGTTGTCCGCTGTGATTGGTCACAATCTGCGACCCGAAACACATTCTCTTCCTTGTTTCATCAAAACTCGATCTAAAATATAAAGTCAAGCCAGCACAAATCTGCGCTTCTTTTTCTTCAAAAGGACGTATAACCCAATCCACTACATGGACATGGATAGCACTTTCATAATGAATACAAAAATATAGTCAGTTAGTGCAGCTTTAACATCACGACTACACTGGAGCAAAACTCACCGGCAGGGCAGGGTCCGAATGCCCTGCCTCTAAGTGTAGTCGGCTTCATGGTGCGGGGTTCCAGAGCGTGGGCGCCATCGTGCTGGCCCGGTGCGCACTGGTCCCTCTCCCGGGCTCCCCCTCCGAGGCTGCACGCCCCTCCTCCGGTGCCACGCACGTTCCGTCTCTCTGTCCTCTCTGTTCTCTCCCCCACTGGTCTCGCCTCGCTGCATGGCCTCTTAATACTGCCCCGGACACAGATGTACTGATTGGTAATCAGGTGCAGGCAGGTGTGCCAGGTAACCACAGCAACTGGGAGGCATGAAAGAAATACACTACAAACCAAAACATGCAAACAAAACACAAATGCCACCCCAGTCCACCGGATTACATTTACACTGGTCCAGACCAGAGCAGAGAGGATTCATGGATTCTATGAATCCTGGATGACTGCCAGAGGTGGTGCTTTAAGCACTGAATGATCATCTTTGAGCATGTGCAGTTCGAGAATTAAATCACAACAAAGTCACTTGTGACCTCCTCGTGACCCACGTGAGTCTATATAGGTAACGTGTCACCTTGTGTTGAGCGTTTGAGCTACCTACTACTTACGTACTGCTTGCACGCCATCTCCGTGACTTCTGTCGAGGCAGCGGGTGGATCTTGCCTTTCAGGGGTTGTGCAAGCTCCGCCGGCTCACCGGTGAGTTCTGTCCGCGTGATGTGCGTGTGTTTTTCTTTTGTTAAGCTTTCTGTTTTCGGAGTGAGCTAACGCTTGCTATCAACAGTTGTACTGTTCGCTTTCTGTTCAGTTTGTGTTTGTGCTCTGTTTGGATGGTGTTTGGCAGGCACTCTGTGCGCGTGGACCGCCTGGCGGCACTGAAACCGGATGGGTGTTCTCCGGAGGTGCCGCCCTGCCTGCCACCTGCTGCCCAGCTTGCTAGGTCTAAGCGTCCGGCTGTGTCTGCTGCTTCCTCAGACCCGCAGAGGAAGCATGGGGTGCCTGCAGGGCTGTCTGCGCGCATGGACCACCTTGCGTGCGAGAGGGCCCACATGAAGGCACTGCTACAGGATGTCCGTCGGTTTTCTGGGGAACATGTGCTGGGCACTCCTGTGCCGGACCTGGCCCCGTTGTGTGAGGACGATGTGATGTCTGTGGCTGCGTCAGACACGCATTTTCGTCTTGACTCTGAGGAGTTTGACTCCAGGGCCTCTGAAGCTGGTTCGTTGGCTTCCACGGTCTGTCTGGACAGCGAGGAGAGTGGGACTCCCTCTGCCGTCCGCTCTGCACTCGCCAACTTGGGATTGGATGTCCCGCAGCGAACTGTGCTGTGTGGTAGCACTTTCTTTAAGCGACAGCGGCCTCTTCCCTCTGTCTCTGTACCTCCTTTGACGGAGTATGTGAGGGATCTGCATGCATGCTGGACGGATACAAAGGCTATGTCCAGATTGACGTCCGATGGCCGGGCTTTGGCTTCCATGCAGGATGCCCCCCAATTTGGCTTGGGCTGCATTCCGCCGGTCGAGCGGGCTGCGGCCTTGTTGATTGTTTCGCCAGAGGAGGCCCTCCGGTCGGATCCGAGGTGCCCTAACCCCCAGTGTTGCCTCACAGATGAACTGTTGTGTCGGGCGTATGATACTGGTGCACAAATGGGGCGCATGGGGAACTCTCTTTCCCATTTGTTACTGGGCCTTTATAATGCGTTGGAGCTCTCTGCGGTCAATGCCCCGACCCAGGGACTGTTGGATGCGTCCCTCCACGCTATCGCCCTTATGTCACGAGAACTGGGCCGACTGCTGTCGACCCTGACTCAGACACGTCAGCAGGTGTGGTTGGCACAGTCTCCCCTCACTGAGCCCTGTAGGCGGACTCTCCGGAGTGTTCCGGTGCTTCCGGGGGAGCTCTTAGGTGCGGCTGCGGTTCAGGCGCAGGCCACCCGGACGCGGGACCAGCTGGTTGGTCTGCACAGGCGGGCCTCTCCACGGGTGGCCCTTCCTGCTGCTACTCCTCGGGTGTATGGTGTTCCACAGCCCTTTCCTAGGGGTTCGCGGCAACCAGGCGTCCCGCCGCCTGACCATAGGGGGTTTTGTCGATCTGCCCGGCGGCCTCCCCAGGGTGCACGGGGTCTCGGGCGCCCTCCCAGGGTGTCTGGGCCACGGGAGGCTGACGATGGGGTCTTTTACCCGGGAGCAGTTGGGTTACTGGACCGCTGACATCTCAGACCTCAGGGTGTTGAGCACGCTCTCCCGGGGTTACACTCTCCAGTTCCACCGTCGGCCTGCGGTCCCTGGCCCCGTCAGGTGGACTGTGATCTACGACCAGGCCAAGATGCTGGCACTGTCCGTAGAAATTGCAACCTTGCTGGACAAGGGGGCTATAGGGGGGTTTTTATTCAATTTATTTCCTAGTTCCAAAGAAAACCGGCAACTTGCGTCCTGTTTTGGATCTTCTGGGCCTCAATGTGTTTTTGAAGACTCTTTCGTTTCGAATGTTGAGGACCCCGGAACTGTTGCAGGCGATATCTCCGGGCGATTGGTTCACATCCATCGACCTGAAGGATGCTCATTTTCATGTGCCGATTGCCCCGTGTCACTGGATGCGCTGGCGCACGATTGGCCCAGAACTCTGCTCTTTGCCTTCCCCCCTCTACCATTTATTTTCCCGACACTCCTGAGGGTTCTCCGGGTGGCTCTTTTCTGGCCGGGCCGGATCTGGTTTCCATTGATGGTTTCCATTCCTCTACACTCAAGGTGTATGTGGCGGCAACTGAAGCTTTAGTTCTATTTCATCCTTCCTTCATGAATCTGAAATGCAGCTTCCCAATGTTTAGTTCTGACTCTGGACACTAACAGGAGTCTAGTCCCTGTGCTCCTCAGAGTCCCAGCAGGAGGCCAGTCCCCGTGCTCCTCAGAGTCCGAGCTGGTTCATATGGTTCTAACCTGTCACTAATATATTTTGGTGCGAGGCCATGGAGAGACTTGTAACAAGCAGAGCTTAATACTTCTATAATACATATATTTTATGAGAACAAAATGCATGCGTGTGTGGATGGCTCTCCCTCGCCGCTATCTCAGGAAGAAGTCCGAGTCGTGAGTGATCAATGAGGTCCTGTGTGGAGAGGAAGTAACAGCAAGTGGAGAAAAGCAGTTATTTTGGATCCTGCTCGACGGAAATGGGACCGAACCCAGGAGGATGTAGATAGTGCTGTCATTGGAACACCACAGATACATTTGTCCCACGTGGTTTAATGAACTTGCTTAAACTTAAACGGAAACGAAACCTAGGTATTTTCATGTCTGGTATTTTTGGTTCATTCAGGCGCTAGTTTTATATTTGCCCACAGGAGGGAAGACCATAAATCTCCTGAAGAAAAGTCAAACTGGTGGATGTTTTTGCACTAAAAATACTCTTGGTTTTGTGCGTTCGGAGGGTTTCACGTGTGGTCTCTTTTCCAGCAGAGATAGTATCACAGCTGGAGGGAGGTCCTGCCTGCTGTGCACGGTCAGGTCCCAGTTCAACATGGTGCTCACTGCAAAAAGTGACAAAAAATAAGGTCCATCAGTCAAGTCATTTTTGTCTTAAAAGAGCTATACCCATTTCTCAGTTTGAATGTTTTGCACCGCCCCCAACACGCTCACAGGCTTCTCATTTCCCCTACGCTCTCACACTCACCTTCGTTTATTTTTCACTCCGTTATCAATTGCAACTTGTGCTCCTTCTTCCATAAACAATGAATCCATGATTGTGATTGTGAGTGCATGCTAGGCTAGCTTTGATGAATGAATGTAAAGACATGCTAACACACTACACTACTGCAAGTTTCTTCCATTCGCTCTTTTTTATCACGCTGCGTTTTGCATGCGGTCGCAACCAAGACACGTTGTCCCCATTTCCAGTCCCAGGAAATGCCGTATTGTACATTCCGTTGAATAAAAAAGCATTGCGTTTGGTTAACGCTAATTAATTATGTCCTACCTTTTGTCTGATAACGCGCTCAGTTTGTACCGCCGGGGTGCTAGCTGTTATTGCTCCATTCGGGATTACATTTTCCTTCTCCTCTTCTCCTTTTCAAAAGCTCCGTGCAGTTGCCATAAACTTTCTCCTCCCTTTTGCCATTGCTAATATGGCAGCGTCTTCAATTGCGCGTGAGGTCAGCGCCTTCATTCATTTGCGGAGCGCTCAATTTGCTAATGTAGTCACGGCACATTCAAGGCCCACTCGTGATTATTACTTTTTATTTATACATACATATAAATACAATTATATTCATATTATATCTATAGATATATATAACAGATACACATTTATATGTATCAATGTATATTTTTATAATTAACCATTTCATTGTGTGTATTATAAAAATATGTATATATATATATATACACCAATTTCATTTGACGGAAAACCGTCAGCTCGACAAAACTCTGTACAAAAGCAACGCGCTGCTAACAAAATATATAACTGAAAGATCACCGCTAGTTTTGCGTCCAAATGTCCGAGCATAGATAGTCCGAGGCGGTCCCGCACTCGTTGGTCTCTCCGGAGAAGACCTTGTAAACTAACAGTAAGCTAACGGTTTCCTCTTCTCTTCCTCATTTTTGAGTCGTTTGGGCTGTTTGGCTGTGTATGCAGTTACAGACAGAGGAAGAAGCCACTTTTTGCTAATATGCTGCTGTGTTTACCACCAGAGCTGTAGAGGCTAGAGGACGCAGGCTATTCACTCCTCGATCTGTGAGTGGAAGAGAAAGAGCGTCCCGCTAAGTCTTTACTCAGCACTTTTTACGGCCTAAACTCACACACAAGCTGAATCAATGAGCTCAAGTTTTACATTGAATTACGGATTTTAATACAACTTGTATGTAGTAAAACGCATTTTTATGAACTCATAAGAAAATAAATCAGATATAGTTTCTATTAATTTGAGTGTATTTTGACTTTCTTAAAACAAGATTTGCCAATGGAAGAAGTAGTTTAGTCTTACTCCAAGGAAGACATTTCTGAAATTGTTTCGTCAAGTCAAAAAGTGCTCAATTTAAGATAAAACCACTTGATTCAAGCATTTATTACCTTAAGTAAGTAAGTAACAAAGTAAGTCACAAAGCGCACACCTTATGTTTTTATTTTTTGCAGTGTTGTATGTAGTATATGCACTGGAAAAATCCTTTGAAAAATTTGTTTTCCAGCCCCTAAATTGTTAATGTTTCAATTTCGATGTCCCGTCCTCCACCGTTTCACCAATTAGAAAGTCTTTGAACCGGGCGCCAGAACTCACCGCGTGGAGCTAATCTCACTGGTAAAGTACCATGTGGGGCAGAACTAAAAAAGGTCTCGTTATGATTCTCAAATCATTAACAACAAAACAGGGAATAAAACCAGGATTTCTATCTTTGTGAAAAAGGTGTTGGTTATAGATTTGTGGTTGACAAAACTCTTGTCTATTCAGTTGTTATAGTCCCAGCTGGATTTGTCTGCATATCTGGCAACCTGAGTCAGGGAGAGTGGGAGAGGCTGCAGTATCACTTTTGGCCACATTTTTACATACTGCTCCTTTAAAACTAGAAAAACAATCTTACATGACAAACTAGATTCAAGCTACAAACACTTTCCATTAAAACACAAGCATAATTTATCTATTTTCAGCGTGATTAATTCCCTAATAAGACTCATTCTGGACATAACTTCCTGACTCTCTGATGGCTCGTCGTCAGAGAAAGCTCCAGAACCTTCCAGCGTCATAAGTGGCGGTCAGACCACAGTGTTTGCACAGAGCGGTTTGTTAAAACATTCTCCTCACAGTCGTTACAGTCGAGGGAAGGAGCGACTTCTACATGTTTCCTCCTTTTTTTAATAAACTGTCTGCTGCAAATCTCCGTCCAATACCACCCAAGAGCTGCGGGGCCTTTACAAGCCTGGGAGGAGAGGCTGGTGATGTCACATGATTTAGAGCGACCTGCAGAAGTCTCTCATGTTCTACACCTCAGACTGCGGTGGTCCTGGATCTGCAGAGCGTTAGAACCACTAACCACCGGAGAGGTGTTTGGTTCCATGAAAACAGGCAGAACACATGTAAAGGATTGTGTTGCTTTGAATGCTACGTGGTGGAAACGGAGGAAGGACCTAAAATACAATACTGCAAAAATAATAAGAAATCCAAAAACACAGGAAGTAACGAGCAAAAACAAGGACCACGGAACAAACACTTAATGGACTGACAACAAGAAAGAGAGACAGTTGAGACACATCAGTGCAAATTAGCAGAACAGGAAGTAAAACTCAAAAAGACACGCTAGAACAGACCATTTCAAAATAAAACAGGAACTAAAAATGACAACCATGACATAGAATTGGCAGAAAAGTTATTGACCTTTACTTACAACTTTGTTAAGAGACCTGCTTTCCCATCACTTTGTACGACGCTTTCTAAGCCTTGAGCCGGTTTTTCTTTTGTTTTCCCCACGGTAAAAAACATTTGTGTAAAAAAAAAAAAAAAGATCAGTTATTATGGACATATTTCAATTATTATACAGCAAAGAACGCAGCAAAGAACGCCCTCAAACAGCATTCAAGGTGGACATTCTCCCAGTGTTTTTTTCTAATGCAGCACATATTTGACATGCCCCGGGGATCCAAGATGGCGTCCTATTCAAATCAAGGGCTTGTGCTCAGTAGCGCCCACCATGGGGACCCGAGATTAGCGGAACTTGCCCATATTTTGTCATTTCTCTGACCAATCAGACCCATTTTTGACTTATTTTGTATCACTTTTTGCAGAGACTCAAAAAAATTATCCACCAAATGATTGAGGAAACCATGTGTTCTTCCAAAATGATGCACACTTTGGAGCCTTAAAAACGGGGAAAAAACACAAATCTCGAGCTTGAACAGTTTGACCTTGGTCTGTAAAATGTGCTATATAAATAAACACTGAAACTTACTCATGTGTATCAATTATCTGAGCTTTCTTTTCTCCTTTTGCCTCTATCATACAACACACCATCAACAATTGGTTCCAGTGTTTCTAAGCAGTCTTTCTGAACAGCCGTGTGAAGCCGTTGATGATGTCGCATGATGTGGATACACACATTAGCCCCTCCTCCTGAGTCCAATCTGTCTCTGTGGTTATTACAGTCCAGGCCACAAAGGGACTGACCTTCACCAAAACTCAATGCATCCAATCCATCCTCAGACTCAGCATCACAAAATATACACAACATGACAACACACTGAGTTTTAAAAGACCGTGGAGTGTGTGGTGTGGATTATAGCGGCAGCTGAAATATTTTACACATTTTCAAACTAAATACTGTCATTCCCCTCAGAAAGAGACACTTTTATGTCTGTAAAAGGTCTTTAGCAAGAATATAATAAAGTGGTGGTGTGGACCTGTATGAGTTAGAAATATGCACTTTTGTTTGGGAGATAATTACAAATGTTTATAATTGATGTACTTTTGTGTTTATAAGGATGTGTTTCTGCTGCTGATCAATAAAGTATCTATGTCTCTATCTATCTTATAGGATTCAATACTTTGTTTTATGGTGTAATATTGGCTGTCCCTGTGTCTGGCCCCACCCCAAAGTATTTCACCTGTCACTGTTGGTGTATTTACCCCATGCCCCTCTCCTGTGCCCCCCTCCTCTTGTTGTAAATCCATTTTCTTTCTTGATTCTTTCTTTAATTTGGATTTTTGAGTTTGATTTGCCCTGGACTTTGTTTTGTTTTTTCATTAAATCATATGTTATTTTCAAGAAAAGTCAAAACTAGTGTTGGGATCTGTGAGACATTTAAGTTATCTAATTGAATGTATTTTTTTCCAAAATATGGTTTGTGTGTGTGTTGTGAAACGTAGTAAAACAGTTGTGATAATGGTGTTAGCAGATGCTCTGGTTGAAATGAACATTTATCTATAACATTAGTAAAAAGTCCGTGAACCTCCAGGGATTTGTCGTTTCTAAACTCTTTGAATGTATTTACCCTGACTCCATTCACAAGAAAACAATCCATATCCACATTTGTTGTTGGTGGAAATAGTCCTGGGTCAGTTGCTTTAGCGGCTAACTCATATGCTACTGTTGCATGTTTTGGGTGGTGGGGAAAACCGGAGCGCCCGGAGGAAACCCAACCAGAACTCCACACTTACGCAAAGTCCTACCCACTCATGCACCGTGCAGCTGTCTATTAAATTTGACATAGGAGGTGTATTTTTGCAGCGCTAATCTATTCTATTCACCTTCTATTTAGGATTTAGGTCGTGGGTTCAAATCCCGGTCGGAATAGGGCCTTTCTGAGTGGAGTTTGCATGTTCTCCCCGTGTCTGCGTAGGTT